TTCTTCCTGGTTTCTTTTGTTGTCTTGGTGTTGTTAAGCCCAGTGACCATCATCACTGTGTAACACTGGCAGTGGTGGGATGTAACTAAGTACATGTACTTTCTTGCTGTACTTAAATACATTTTTCATGTATCTGTACTTTACTTAAGTGGATTTCATCATGGGTACTTTTGACTTTTACTCCACTACATTTTACATTAAGTATCTGTACTTTCTACTCCACTACATTTCTGTAATGCGTTGAATTACAAAGTACATTCATTCCATGTTGATTTATTTTTTTATTTTATTTTATTTGTGGTTTATTTGATTTTTTTTTGTTAGAAAATAATCAGTGGCGAGAGGGGGAATTGCTGTAATTGGTCCATTGAACAAAGCAGGAAAGTACCATTACACCCTCCTTCATAAAAAAGCAGAGCAGCAGCATGCCCACAATGGTTTCCACCACGGAGGAAATGTGCCATTCATGGCCTTATTTAACTGGTTCAAAAAATGACTTGTTGAGATTTGACAGAGGAGGTTGGTGGTGAATTTACATCTTCTGCAGCTGTTGTCACAATATGTGATGATGCACAGAATCACAAGTCCAAGTGTGAACAGTGTCACAGAGTGTAAACACAAAACTACACATTATCTGCAGCTTTGTTCACTAAAATGGCACCATTGATGTATTAAAACATACATACAGTAGGCACACTTCATGATATCGTAGACCATTAGGGAATACATTAAGCAAGGTACTTTTACTTTTAATACTTTAAGTATTTTTAAAAGCAAGTACTTACTTACTTTTACTCAAGTAAAATGTTAATGTGGTACTTTTACTTTTACTAGAGTACATTCTTGTCTGTTTACCTGTACTTTTACTTAAGTACAGTGTTTGAGTACTTTCTCCACCACTGAACACTGGTTCCTGCTGTATATTTGTTGTGCATTTCTCTGTGATTAGGATCAGCCAGTAACATTTTCCTCATTACCTGACATGGTGCTTTCAGCTGTTTAAAGCTGGATTGTTTGCCGGGGTCTATGATGGCCTGTAACAGTATCAACCATCTTCCTTATCGCTGCTGTTTTCACACTGATTCTTTTCAGCTTTTTCCTCACTCTTCCTCTTTGGCTTAGCAACTTTGAGAGGGATGTCCAGAGATAAGTCGAGCAGGAGGTTATGATGAAAAATCCTACTGTGTCTGAATTTTCCTTGTTCAGGCACAACTTCTTGTAGCAGAAGGTCCCTGTTCACCTGGAGAACAGCTTTGTAGACTCCATCTTACCGGTGGCTATAGTGCCTGTTCCACCTCTCAGAACTGAACTTCAGGCTTTACTTTCATAATATTTCCTCTCTCTCTTGAATTTATTTATTGTATTTCTACAGCATTCTCTGAAGCATTCTGTTTGATTTTTCCCTTTTCTGTGTGCAGTTGGTGATCTGGTGTTCCAGCCTCGGGTGTGAGCCTGAGCAGGATGTAAGAAGGAAGTCATGAGGCTCTTTTAAATAGTAGATAAAAGAGTGTCAGACTGTCGTGTCACTTCTGGTGCAGTTGAATGCAAAGAGAAACTTATTCAATGACTCATTCCAGATGGAGTTTTTTCTTTTTGCACTCATTGAACATTTTCTTCATTTTATGCAGGAGCGTCCCGTTTAATTGTTTGACCTGACCATTTTCCTCTGGATGATATGGTGCTGTCCAGGAGCTTACCTCACCCATCACAGTGTATCCTTAAGGGAAAGCCAAACTTTGTAGTCACTGAACAGCTTGTCAGCCACTGTCTTGCCTAATTTAGATGTTGCATAAGATTGTTTTGAATTATGTGAAGTGGTCTATTCATCTGCCCACATTGCAGGAAATCAGTGACCACTCATTCAAAAGGCTGGTTGGTCACTGTAGAGAGGTGCTCAGTTTGATGAAACATATCTCGTGTTGTGTTTTTGGCCAGAAAAATAAGTCTCTAATAAGTGAAGCTGTTTACTCGCTGATGTCTCATCTCTTCGTGAAGAGCTTCTAACACTGTTGCTTTAGATTTCATATGAGCAAGTTATGCTCTGACTTAGGGCTGGGCGATAAATCGATTTAATCGATTGATTCGAATTTTCCATTTATAAAGATTTAATTTAGGAAAAAATCAAGATTTTTTTTTTCCCACCAGTGCACTCTTTGGGGCTTCTGTAGTTCAAAAGTCACCCTGCCTGTCCCTCAAGATGCTTGGTACATGACATGACAATTTGGCAGCTAGCAGAGAGGATCTACTTCTCAAAAAAGGCAGTGTTTCTTTAGATATCTGGAACTGGTTTGGTTTTGCAACCTCGGATTTGGAGCAATGAACTCCTCACTGCAAAATCTGTTTGAAGGCTCTTGCTACAAAAAGCAGGAGTACAACAAATTTGTTTCGACACCTGAAACAGAGGCACTCCGTTAAGTGGGAAGCAAAATTGATTAAAATCAAAAATCAAAATTGGGATGAAAAAAATCAGGGATTTTTTTGGAGCCATATCACCCAGCCCTATTCTGACTGCATCTCATCCATCCCTATCCAGTGTTAGTTCATCACCCTCACATAGCAGGCATCTTGTCTATACGCTCAGAGATTTCCAGTAATGACCTGTGGGTTTTGCCAAACTCTATCATAGGACCGATGTATTGATCCTCTTTCTGAGCAAGACAAATCTCCTCAGCTGGAATGGGCGTGGCACCTAAATCACTCCTCCATTTCCTGGGTTGACAGGGCTGTGGACCAGATGATATCAGCATCCGGCTCCTGCACAGACTGAAATGTAGCCTGCGCCGCTTGAGATGACGGCTCCTCTGTGAATTTCTTCCTTCATTATTTCAACAGGCATTTTTAACTGGCTATCTGCACCAGTTTTCTCTCTTCCTAGTCAGTCCTTGATAGTAAGGTAAAAAAATGCCAATTCTGACAATGACCCTATGACTTGTTGCATTAAGTTTGTTTATAGATAACACAAAAATGAGCAGATTATTGTCAATGTACCCGGTGCAGGATCATCTTTGAACCTCTCTATGACTGATAAAAAGAAGGTGTGAACTGGTCCTAGGCAAGATTTCAGGTGGCGCCCCTTGTGCAGTTTATAAATCTCACAACCAGTTTACAGACATTCACATACCAAATTAAACAGCTTTGTCTTTGATATTAGTTTTTATCTTTAGAAAACAGATTGTCCAATTAAAATTTGCCAGCGCGGCGATGAGAATGCGTGTTTATTTTTATCCTTTTTGGTCAAGCCGCGCAACGTTCAAGTGGCGTCAGAATAAACAACTCTCACTAGAAAAATAATTAGAATACTCTGTGCTGAAAAACAAGCAGTTATTTTAATATTTATTAATATTATTTTACCAATTAACCATGTATGTTACAAACAAACTTTATAATTATAAACATCGGAACTACTTCCATATCGAGAACATAAATGTCCGTTACGTCCTGAATGCGGCACAAAGTCCGTCAGCTAAAATGCTAACAACAACAAGCTAGCGTTCAAGAACTCATCGGGACTTAAATCACTGCTGAGGCTTTTGACAAATCCAATTTAAAAAATAGCTAGAGAGGATGCAGATCTCAAGCACTTTAACAACGGAAATAAAGGAGTTTGACTAGCAGCCGTTCACCCTCGCTAAAGATCGAAGCTTTTATCTCCTTGTTAGACACGGTTTACCATGCTGAACAGCTGCTGCCTCTCTGTGTGTCTTCCTGTAAGTATGATGCGGTCGTAATGCATTCACACTCTCAGAAGCACTGTTTCAGGTAGAAAAATGTTTTAAATCATATATTAATAATAATAAAAGCAAATGTACTTTAAATCTAACTTGTGTTAAGTGCATTATCTGTTTTGAACTTGTGGAATGACTTTTTTTCTTTTGTTTGAATCTGAGATCAGTGTTAAAGGTCTTTATTATAATTAATGTGCCTTGTTTTAAAAAAAAAGGCCATTTGAGAAATTGATTTGTTCGATAAATTTTAAGAAATGTTTGCTTGGTAGGAGATTATTTCACACAGTATAATTTACAGTGTCACTTGGTTTTGGTCTTGTTTATTTATGTTATGATTTTACCCATTTTTCACTAGTCTTATCTCCTGGCATGTTATCGGTTATTATTGGTTATCGGCCATTGGAAGGAGAAAGTTATCGGTATCGGTTCTTAAAATAAGTTATTGTGCATCCCGTACTTTAACCTTAACTTTATGAGATCGTAACTGAAGCTTCCCTTTGGTTAAGTTATGAAATCTTTTCTTTGTCCCTCATTCATTCCTGGATGGACAGTCCTTAGCATTTACTGACTAAGCCCTGGGCCAGCCCTGGTTGCATGTTCATATGCTCAATAAGCATCAGACCAGCTGCTCCTCTGAGCAGTGCATCTCGCTAATTTAACAAACGGCTTCTGGGAACATATCATTTTCAGCAAAATGACATGCGTCAGGACGTGCTACTTCACAGAGATGTGCTGCTCCGCATGAACAAATATGCCCACAAAGTTTTAACCAATCACAAACTGAACTGCAAGGTCTGCAGGGCCAACTTCTGACTAGGGGCTAATGCACACGGCAGGTGTCACCGAGGGGGACAACAGACGGAAGTTCCAGATTTTGTGTCACTTAACAGGGTGAGCAAAATGTGCAACTTGAAGTATAAACCAGCATTTACGCTGTCTTGCCTGTCACACACCTGCTGTTTATCTGTAATAATCCCAGCTGCACTCACTCACCAATCAACCCTCCCAGCAGATATAAGCTCTCTGTTAGATTCTTGTGTGCAACATCCTAAGTCCTGGTTTTTCTCTCATAACACTGAGATACATACAGTAGGTCTGTCTCTGCGGTTTAGCATGTGCCTTGGTCGGTCCTGTTTTTCTTGGCTGCAAACCTGGATTTTGTTTTCATTTAATAAAATGGTTTTTTTTTGGTGAGCTTGGCTCGTCTGCTGTTCTGGACTCTTTTGGTCTTCCAATAACAAACAACCAACCTTTACTATTGAACAACAATCTTACCTGTCTCCATCGTCCTTGTTGCCCTGTTTATCAGAGAACTCCTGATCGAGAGAGGAGGAGGTGCTGCCCTCCCTGCTGACCCCACTGTTACGTCCTGGGCTGTTATCAGCAGAGACTCTCCCTCCCCCTGCAGGGTGGGGGTTGGTGGTGTCTGTGTGCTGCTTCAAAGTCTGAAGCTTGGCCAAGGGGATGATGTCACATCCCGTAGGTCGGTGCCACACTGTCCTCTGGGTGGAGGCGTTGTAGTAATAGAAGCGTGATGTTTTGGGGTCGAACAGCTCCCACCATTGGTTGTCATCAGTCGGCTTGTAGGGAACTCCCTGTGGAGGGTCCCACACGCATTCGCCCGTCAGCAGATTGGCGTACATACGCTCTCTTGTGCGAGGCTCAATGATCTCCACCCACTCCAACCTGCAGGGATTGAATTTGGAGAATAAAACAAAACAATTACTCGTAAAACACAATTTTATCAGTAACAAAGAACTTGACTGAAAATGATGTTTTCGTCAAACCTTGAAAATAGTGTTTTGTGTTCTATTGCTGTATCTTGTTGGAGTATGTGTTGTGTTGTGAATGCCTCTCGGCTATGATCACATCTAATTTGATCTCTCTATCTGTAAAATATACTGAGCTATAGCCATTCTGAAAAGGCTAAGGTCAGTTGGTTGTGGCAGTCATCTTGAATTTGTTGACTCAGTTGTTTCAATCAGTTGTAGATCCACATCCAGTGATCACTAACCTAAGGTTTCATTAAAATCTGTCCAGCGGTTCAAGAAACATTTCGGCAATACAGAGTTGATGACAATAGTAACTGGCAAGGTTTAAAACAGATTTTCTTAAATCAATTAGGACTGATCATTCTTATATAGCTCACTATTTGCAGTATAATAACCTCTCTCAAAGCTAACAGTACGCAGAATCTGTCATCAACTGTTGAGTATGGTCAGTTTATTTAAACTACATTACCCACAAGACATCTCACTGCGTATGTTTGGGGGTGCAGGAGGTGGGGTGTGTTTGGTTTCATTAGCCTCCGTTTGTCCATCCTGCTGCTCAGACAGGTGTGCTTCTGTGAAGTTCCTCTTTGGGGTCTAAGATAAAACTCAGATGATGTCGCCTCCATGTTTTACTGTTTGAAACTTTGTGATATCATTTGTCAGGACTCATTGTGTTGTCTGGAACCTGCCGTATGTGATTTATGCACATCAATAAAACACATTGTGACAGTTTTTATTTTTTGCCTGCTCCCTTCTGCAGGGATCACCACAGTGACAAAACTCACACGGTAGAGTTGGCAAATGTTTTACACCGGATGCACTTTCCGATGGAAACCTCAGTCTCACAAGACCGGAGCACTGACCCCCCCCAAGCTACCATGGCCCCACGTTGGGACAGTTAAAGAAATTAAATATTAAATTTACTTATTTACAGGGTTTTTGCAGATTTCAGTAAATTTAAGACATTTTAAGACCATTAGGAATGACATTTATGACCAAACCAACTTATTAACAGAAACATTCAAATGGTCCCAGAAATTTTGTCATAGAAAATGTTGCCATCTACTTCGCTAACAGAACGATACATTTTGACATCATTTGTTTATAAATATATCCATATATTTAGCTAGGATTTTGACAAAATTAGTCTCCGCCAGTGAAAATACTCTCATTGATTATAATGGTTGTGTATTTGCAGCAGAGGTCGGACTGGAGTGGAACTGCATTTAGTGTAAATTAGGGGTAACTGGATGGTAATCTTGCAGAGCTTACAGCGACCTTCATATCAACTGCTGGGGACCACTTCCAACCAAGTGCAAAAATCACTGATATCCAGCTAAAACTCATTGAAAACACACTTTCCCTCGTTTAAACAAGCAGTGGACATGATAGAACTTTTTTTGGGCTGGTGAAAAAGCCACTATATGCAGGAGGTTGCAGCTGCTAAGAGGTCGAAAACATGGAAGTAAACTGTGCCATTTTTTGCTTGCAGTTATGGGATTTGTAGTTTAACCGCGTACAAAGACCAGTAGCAAACTTAGAGCATCATGAAGGCAGATCGCGTCAACCTCTGATTACGGCACTTTAACTCTATTTATGCAGCCAATGCTTGTTGGGAATGATCAAACTAAAAAAAAAAAAAAATGAAGATTTGACTAAATTTAATTTAAGACCTTGAATGGAAAAACTGGGCATTTTAAAGACTTTTTAGATTTTCAAATTTTCGACTTTTTAAGACCCCACAAGAAACCTGTGCTGAACAGATTTTTGTCAGCATCAGAACAATCACCCCTAAGAAATCTGTAAGGAGCTTCCACTGAAAAAACACTTTTTATTCTGCATCTTGATGCATCAATGGATTAGAGAAAAGCTGTAAAATCTGCAAAGAGAATGGGTAAAATTTACCCAAATCCTTGTAGTAATAAAATCTTGTATAAACGTTGTTTAAAGACAAAAAAAATCTGGACTGAATTTCTAATTTAATTATAAAAAATACTTCCAATAAAGTAATATAAGTTATCTGTTTGAACTGCTACATCAGGAAAAAGGAAGAGATCAAACAAGATAAGTACAAACAGATTTAAAACCATCAGCTGTTACTGAGCTCAGCATAAGCTTTAATAGGAACTGAATAAGTGCATTACAGGACAACTACTGTAAAATCAGTCTTGGTTGTGTTGCACATCTGGAGTGTTTTTAAACCTGTAATTAATACAGATTTTGTTCAAATATTTTGTTTTTTTAAATGTGTGTCTACCTCATTATGGTGTGTGTAAATATATTTACTTAGCACAAAAAGTAAATAATTTTGTGTTTGGTAGATTTAGTTTTTTAACAATGCTTCTTGACATTAAATCTTTTATCAGGCACCTGACTGGCAGCACCTGGGAGTACCAGAAGTTCAAAACCAATGTCAGTAGCAGCATAATAAACTGGCAGAGAAAATGTGGCAATTTTTTCATGTACATAACCTTCCTACTCAGCTCTACTGTTCATCCCAAAAATGCTTGTTCCTTACAAATGTGGCACCATTTAAAAGAGAAATTAACAGGCTTTTCAGTGTTATAAGATTTATTACCAAGAAGCATTGTTACAACAAAGAAACCATCTACCAAACAGTAATTTCTTTACTTTTTATGCACCATACTTTTTTTATTTTTTATTATTTTTTACATTTCACTGCACCTTTTTGAAGTGTTTTACTTTTTCACTCTGGGAAGCAAACACAGATTTTGTTGTACTTTGGTGCAGCGACAATAAATTCTATTCTATTTATATTCCTGGATTAACAAAGTTAAATGAGGGAGAAAAATTCTGTCAAATAATTCTAAGAGAAATGTTTATATATACACTATATATA